TTACTCATAGCACAGGTAATACATTTCTTACCCCAGTCATTTACATCATCGGGACTTTTATTCCAATAAAACCTTTGAGGTTTTTTTTTTTAACATTGAAATGTCCTCCTGATGGACTGTTGTGTAACTAACGAAGTACTTCAGCTTCTCTAGTCTTGGAATGACCTGTCTTCTGTTTTTAGATCATGATTTTTGAGTATTCGCTTTAATAAACCTTCTTCCAGAATTAAAGAGTTCCACTGAGCCAACGACTTAACAACTAGAGGGAGTTTAGATACTTTTTATCGAGTAGGTCGATGATTTTCCTTTTTCCATTATTGCATTTTTTTTAAAATGGGATTGTTCTCTCGTTCTTCTTTAATTTTGATAGGGACACACTTATCATTAACTACAGTTCTTTGTTATGCAACTTTAGCAGATTAGAATTTCTTGACCAATACCTTTATTGCGCTTCTAATGTTCCATCGTGACAGGCGTTTCTTCTTACACAGTTTCTTGCGCCCATGTTACTCTAATAATGGTTTTATTTCTACCAGGTACAACTGCACCTTCCTCTAAAGCTGCCTGCACGGGTTTTCGATTTGTAGTAATCCTAGGGCGTTTACACGAACTCTGTACATTTCCCATTTCACCGTAATTCCAGCACCTGATAGTCTTCGTTTGCTTTATTGTCTAAGGAAGAAATATCAGAAGAAACTTTATTTTCTAAAGAAATATTAGAAAAAAAAAGCATTCTTCAAAAATTTTTTTGATATGACAGGAGTAATTTTATTTTTCATAGAAGTCATATCGAAAAAAATTGAAGAAATTATACCAAAAGATGCATCATTTGGAACTAGATATGTTTCCGGTTCCAAATCTTCACTTTCTAGTTTAAGTCATTCTGCCAACTCTGCTTTGTTTCCCTTTAGGCTAAATCCAAACGGCATCATCAATCTTTTGTTATTTCAGGATGACTAAAAGCATTTAGTAGATCATTTATATAAAGTAAAAAAAATGAGAGGGCCCAACACAGACCCTTGCGGAACCCCCTCCTAAAAATTTGCTTTGTACTTCCCTTATTTTCAATATACCTAATTTTTGACATATCTGATAAATAACTTATTCCTACGTTTACCATAATATTGCAGTTTCCGAATTAATATGCTATGGTCAAGACAGACAAACGTAGCACTAAGTCGACAAAGACTTCTAAGAATTTTTCAATTTTTTTAAAAGAATATTTAGTACTGTGTGATGTAAGTTTTGAGACAAAAGCTCTCTTGCTCTTGCTCTCTTGCTGAATTATAAATAAATCCTAAAAAGAGTCTGGATTAATGACATACAGCTATGGGGTTGTGCCAGCGAGAATAATATTAAGATGATACAAGTTTTCCAAAATAAAGTCTTAAGATGTATCGTTGATGCACCTTGATTCTATCAGAATGATTATCTTTCTGAAGAAGCCAACAGTCGAAGAGAATATAAAGAGGTTTGCTGCGAAACATGAGGGTCGACTCCACTCCCACGTCAAAGAAGGGACGCTGCAATTACTAGACAACTAACTCTCCACTCAACAGTCAATAATGACTAGCAGCGATACTAAAAAAAAAGAAGTAGACATAACTATAAAAAGAGAGAATGTGACTATCATATCCTGTATGTGGAGAAAGATGGAGATAAGAGATCGACACATCGTAGTATTTGATTGAGAATATTTTTACAATTTTTTTTGACATGCTCAAATAATTGGTCTATTGTCAAAAGCAACTAGAAATAAATGTGTTTCTATAGAAATCACATCACCTTCTTTTTTCGAATTTCTTTAAATCTTCTTCTAATGTATATAAAAAAGCACTAGCTCTAACAATGTACCCTGTGGAACACCAAAACTCTAATATTATTGAGATATTTAAAACAGCATGTATATTTTATTTCTACGTATCCTTCGATTAAACAGATATTACATTTTCAAAAAAGAATTTGGTGATTCACAGTGTCAAAAGCTTTGGACATGTCTGTAAATTCCTTAAGCAGTTACTTATCTATTCACTTTTATGTACAGTCAGTGTCGTTCCTAGATATTTTCTGCGACCAGTAACGTACTTAATACACTGAATATTTATTGTATACCCTTTGTAAATATATTTTTTGTATTTTAGATATGTATAAATGTTCGCCTTGTGGTAAATCTTACAAGACGAGACGAAGTTTGTACAAGCACAAACAGCTTTACTGTGGAAAATCACCTATGATGTGTTGCGAGCTTTGTCCGTATCGCACTTATCAAAGAAGCCATTTACAGATGCATATCTACAACAGGCATCCGGACAATGCGTGAAATTGGTTGGATCGTATTTTTGCACTATATAAATATATTTTTTCTACGACTACTATTTTAAATATGCTTACTGCATCATTTATGTCAAGTATATTTTTTTCAACATCCTCATTTACATCTTTTAATTTTAATCTAAAAAATAAATGAAAAAAAAAACTGTCAAACATTACGAAAAACGAAAATTTTCAAAAAAATTCTTCTGTAATAAATTTAATAGTACAGGATACGAAGTAAGGTTCGCCCATCTGTTTAACGAATGATAGTTTTTCTTTATTAAATAAAATATGTTTACAAATATACCGCAAATGGCTAAGAAAATACGGTCACGGCTATTTTTTACTTTCTTTTCTGTATACGGATAGGAAAAGTATAGGAAGTTGCCTGTGATATCATTCTCTATAATTTTGGTCCCATATATGATTTCCCTAAAATAGATCGTATTCGAGATATTTGAGGAAAACTGTAAATTTAGAATTTTGAAGTTAACTCAAAAACGGATAAAGAGAAAAACACCAAATTTAAAACTTAAGCTTTAATCTATCCTGCTGTGAGCTGATTAAATTTTGGGCATAGTCGGAACATCTGGGGGTACTTTATAGACAGTCATTTTTTTACTTTAAGAAACTAAATAGTCTTGACTGTTTTTTCTCAGGCAACCCATTTGCGGACTATTTATAAACATATTTGATTTAATAAAAAAAGCTTTTATCCATTAAACAGATGGGTGAAAGGTCGACCTTACTTTGGATCTTAGACTATAAACATTCGGTCTAATTTTAATTTAAGTTCAATATAAAAAAGAATGTACATGTACCCTCATTTTGTAATTTCAAAAAATTGTGGATGTAGAAAAAGTATAGTGTGCAAAGCATTTTTTTTTATCCTTTAATTTGATCTTGGGAAAGATATAATTTTGCGCAATTGTTGCACAAACTACAATTTTTCATTAACCTAATTGATATTTTATGAATCTGTTAAAATTTGAACACCTAAATAAAAGATATTATCCAAAGTTTTTTTTGTAGAATTCTATTATTAATAATTTGAGGCATTGGATGTTAATCCTATTAAGTCTAAGTTTGAACTGGAAATAAAAAATATCTAATTTGACTTAACTGTGACTAGAAAATTTATTACTAAGGCACTTCTATTTCATTAGATATATGTTATATTGCTACACAGAAAAACGTTGACAGCTGTGTGCACGTAGCTTAGATTCAAAAGAAAGACTTGTATTTCGTGCAATTTTTTTTTAATTATTGAATGCCAAGCGCTTTCGGCATGGTGCCATCATCAGTGCTTATCTACAAAAATTGTGGATGTAAACTTACAATTTATAAATATGTGTAAAAATAAAATCTGAGTAAAACTTTTAAGTCAAAAGTTAAAAAATATATATAAAAGGTAATTTTGAACAAATTAACAATAACAAACAGAGTGACATAACCCAGTGTTGGGAATAGTGAGTGTGGGATAAGCTCCTGAAAAATCATATCTGATCTCCAGAAGCAGGTTAGCTTGTGTGGAACTAAGGAATTATACCACCTTCACTATTCGCATTGAGTACAGTTGAAAACAAGTTAACAAATTGGTTAAAAATTTAAAAAATTGTACAAATAGAGGGTGACTGTGGTAAATATATTGAAATTTAAATTTAGAATAAAATGGTTAATATTAAAAAGGTTAAAGGCAAAAGGTCAAAAAAAACTGAAGGTTTATTTTTCTATTTACATTATAATTGTAAAAAAGTCTACCTACAAACAAGCATATCCACCAAGTTCTTAGTAACCCTCGCTCCAAAATATAAATATTTCTGGAGATTCACAACTTGCTAAATCATAATTATTACTATTAGTAATATTTTAAAATTTAAATTGATTTATACATTCATTTTTATTATTATTGTTTAACCAACTATTTCCATGTGACAGTGGTGACAAGCGACACTTAAAGACGTTGACCGGTCAAATGTCAAGAGAGGAGGTGCGTTCACCTCAGTGTGGAACGAGTTTCTCCAAGTGTGATTCGAGTGATTGGAGGTGGTTAAAGGAAATCAAAATTTGTTAGTCTTGAATTTAAAGAAACTTTTTCTGAAATTTGATTTATTTGTTATAGTATAGTCGAAGTAGGGTTTAGGGTGGAACTAATTCCCACAAAGACGAGGTTTGAATTTTTGAGCTCATTACTCATATCCTTTCAACATACTCAAAGTCTAGAAAAATGTGAGTGTGCGAAATGCGTTTTTGGCCGCCATCTTGAATTTTAATTTTTTTTTAAATTCATGATAAATCGTGTGTTGTATCAAATAACGGGAAATTTTATGCTAAAAAAGAACAGATTATGGATTAAAAAGAATAAAAATGAATAACAAAATAGTATGAGAAAAACTAAGTCTATACGGTATGTCAACGAGCTACATGGATATTGAGCCACCCTTCATGTTGTGGAGTTATTGCTGCTATTAGCGATTTCACTGCCGTCTCCCGTATTAGCAGTGAACAACATATTGAAATGTCCGATGCTAGGATATCTAGAGATATAAAGACTTCTTACATTGCTTCTTATGCTTCTTATGCTTCTTATGTTTCTTATGTTTCTTATGTTTCTTATGTTTCTTATGTTTCTTATGTTTCTTATGTATCTTATGTTTCTTATGTTTCTTATGTTTCTTATGTTTCTTATGCTTCTTATGCAAGATCACAATCCATTTGATTTAGAATACGTTCAGCTACGTAATATTTTCAGTGGGATAGTAGACAGTCAACACAAGGTAACTGCAGTTGATATTAAGTTTATTGAACTTCAAATCCAATCCAAATTGACTGGAAAAGCTTTTAACTTTGTTACCATGTTTAAAAAAGATCAAGCTGTCACAATGAAGATTTTAAGAAAAGGTATTGTAATTGACTGAGTTGTTCAACATATTGACACAAGACTCCTCACTCAGAGAATGCTGGTAAGTTTGTCTGTAAATCCTAATCTGCAAAAATTGAAGAAGAACTTTAATTATGAACTATCTATATTTCCTCTATCGCTATTTGATCCAGACACTCAGTTATTCAGAAAATGCGACAAATCATCATTGACAAGAACTTTGGATGACTTACAACCTAGTTTAAATTACATGTTACCTGCGGACACATGTTATGTTCTTGACGGTGGTCCACTACTACACAAATTGCCATGGCCAAGATCTGGGAAGTTTTCAGATGTGTTAGAACTATATAGTAGTCATATAGCTAACCAATATAAAGTTGTGACAGTTGTATTTGATGGCTATACCACCTCCAGTATTAAGGTTGTTGTCCACTTCTTATCGTCAAAGCACCTTTTCTTGGTAATACTGAAAATAAACAATGCTTTCTTACCATGCTAGGAAAACACTTAGAAGCCAATGGCCACACTGTGATTCATGCTACAGATGATGCTGACACACTGATTGTAAAAACAGCCCTGACCTTAGCAAAAGAAAAGCACGTAACAGTTGTTGTTGATGACACCGACATTCTGGTACTTTTAATTTACCATAACACACGAAATATTTGCTTGCAATCATCTACGTTCAGTGATAGAAAACGTGATATTAAATCGATGCAACATATACTTGGTGAAAATGGGTGCAAAATCATTCTCTTTTGCCATGCTTTAACCGGATACGATACCACAAGCTCCTTATTTGGAAAAAGTAAATCGGCAGCATATCGACATTTTTGGAAATGTGAACAATTTAGCATTTGCGCTACTTTGTTTGGATCAGAAAATGCAAACAAAAAGGAACTTACAGCCATTGGCACCAAAGCATTGGTATCGTTGTACGTTGGAAATCCAAACACAGAAACCTTAAATCTACTACTTGAAAAAAATCACAACTGCCAAAAGTTAATTTAATATTGCAAGATTGCCACTAACTGAAGATGCAGCTGTTCAGCACCTTCTTTGCGTACATTTACAATGTCTTTATTAGAAAACTATGAACACCAATATTGCCAACCCCGAAGAGTGGGGTTCGAAAAAAGTAGAAGACCAACTACAGCCCATAATATGCGAAATGAGCCCTGCACCAGAATTATTACTAAACACAATCCGCTGCACCTGCAAAACGGATACAAATGAGCCGTGTGGTAGTGATAGATGTACTTGTCGACAGTATGGTGTTAATGGTATTAATATGACACAAATTAAGGTAGGCTAATTTTTGAATTTTCTTGAATTTAATTTTGCTGGCAACACCGTGCAGTGAATTTGTACTCGCTTATCTTTTGTGAAGTACATAGGGTTTTGATTCGAATTGTTTATTTCTTGTTCTGAAATTTAAATGTTTTGAATCGAATCCTTTTATAACATTGAAACAAGTAAGCGATATTTGGTTTTAAGAGCATATCATACTTAATAAACGTAAGAGCTTTTTTGGATTAATTAAGAATTCTAGACTCGAATGAAATAGTTTATTCTCAGATTAATTGTAATAAATCTTAAAATACAAGATTATGCTTACACTTCACTCCACATTTATTTTCTTATTGTATCGAGAAATATTATTTGAAACAAACTTTGCTTTATTTCAAACAAATGTAATCTTTCAAGTGTAAAGCTTTTCTTGAATGTAGATGATATTTTTTTGTGTATGGAGTATCAGATACACTTCGATCTAAAAGTAGTTCTAATATAGCACCTTCTGTCACCAAAACAGCAAGGAAATAGTGTCAACATTATAACGACCTTTCCGATCCCATCTCTGCGCTAAAGTGACAAACAATATATTTATTAATACTGATAATTAGATTGGATTTAGATGGTTTTATTAAAATTGAGGATTTCGTTGTAAATATAAAGAATAGCTTGTGGAATACTATTGTTTATCAATTATAGGATCACTCACTAAAACATATATCTACTAACAATTAGTTTGACAGAATTGTCACTTATATATAATTTAAAAAAATAATAGTAGACGGGTCACCAAATATGAACCGTGATTGGTGAATTTCATATCCATATAGTGCCTTTACTAAAATGGATATGAAATAATATCCTTTTAATAGAATTTAATACACCTCTTTTTTCTCCTGTAGTTTGTGCTTAGAATAGATAATATCCATGGGGGTACAGAAAAATAAGTACTTAAAACTAAAAAGAGTAAATACTACAAATCTATTGTAATAGTATCAAAAGCTCTGATTTAAGTAGCTTACTAGTTGGAGGGTGAATTATTGGGATAGTATTATTTTTATGTGAGCCATTTGATTATTCAGTCATGCTCTAACCCTACAAGTCCCTCTCTGTCTTATTTGGCCTTTGAGGCTCAACTTGTTCGAATATTATACATTATTAAACCCCTTAAGACCAAACCTATGGCACGACTATGGTGGAGACACTTTCGCGAACATTCCAGGGTCAACGAGATACTATTTCTAGAACGTGATAACGTTTCTGGTACATACTGGCAATTTTGGTGGGGGAGCATTCTATACCACCAATTTGTATATAAATTGGTGGAGGAGAGCCATCAGAATCAGTATTATATGAACAGTGAAGATAAATAGTAATCAGTGATATATAGACAGCTGACAATAAAGTATTGGACTGTGAATATAAATAGTGAACGATTCAAAGACATTAGAAATATATATAAATTAGAAATAGTTGTGTTATAAAATATATATGTGTTTAAATAAATTATTAATAAATAAACTGTTGTTTGAAAATAGACAAACATCACATTATTATTAGGTACCTAATAGAAATAATATATTAATGTGAATTAAACTATTAAATTAAAAGTAGATTATTTTTTAATAGCTCATGTTTATTACCATCATTATTTTCAGGTAAGTTTATATGCCATGTTTGCGGTAAACGCTACAGAGGAAGAAACTCGCTATACGTCCATACTCGTTATGAATGTCAAAAAGAACCCCAATTTTCTTGCCCCTATTGCCCTCACAGAGCCAAAATTATGTCGAATATCAAGCAGCACGTAAAACGCAAACACCAAAACATTACTACCGATAGTTTTCTGTTTGAAGTATAAAATAAAGGAGTATTTAAGAAATAGGTTTCGAGTGTTTTATTTTATTTGCGTTACTTGTCAATTTGTCAAAAAGTCTATCACAAAATATTGCAGAAATACATGATTTTTGTGTGTATTGATTATAAATTAAAGAAAATAAATTCCTACATACATTTTATTCGAAACATTTCCTTATTGCCAACTAAGTGCCACCTTTTTTAAAAGTGAATAAAGGACATTTTAAAAAACCTTAGGCAGTACCGGCATTATGAATGCAAGCAAGTAGGGGAATGGCACTTGGCATCACTTTAAACCGCTAAAAATGCACCATCAAAAAAGGACTGTTCTGTTCAAAAAAGGACAGGTGGCAACTTAAATACTGACATAATTCGAATGTTGGTTTTACCTAATTTTTAAAGTGTTTTGCAGATGGTCTTTTGTCGAAATTTGGAACATTCTGAATTCTGATTCTTTTTACAATAGGATGATAAAGGTAAAACAATATTAGGTACAAAAAACATTAGTTTAATACAACAAATAATAGTATATTTGGTTTTATTATTACAGATGATTCTTACATTTTGTTCTGCATCGTTATTAAAATAGTATAAAACAAATGGTGGAAAACATAATGGACTGCCTAACTGTAGGGATTATATTATGAAATGAAATTAATTTATAATAAATAAACAACAATGTACCCATTTTTTATATTTTCACATTTTTTTTTGAAAATAAAACAAAAAAGGTTACTTTTATCGGGTATTAAACCCCGTTCCCCAAGTCATTGAAGTAGAAACTTCAACACTTAACTGTCTGAGCCATGAAGAATCAGATATTGTGTATTAACTTAAAACAAAAGAATAAATTCATCAATATGTAGTTACTATAAAATTACTTTAATAATGATTAAAAATTTAGGATCTAGGTATGAAAAACAATGTTAACAATTTAATCATTAAATTGATTTTATTATTATTATAAATATTAAATAAATCAAAGTAGAAATGATGTATCTGACATATTTGACAGCTGATGCAGTAAGTAGATTCTTATTCATACTTACAAGGGCGGAAAAAAATTTTTATTCAGACGTGTGTGATATATGGCATCTTTCATAAGATAATACTCAATAGGCGATTTTTAATGTACTTTAACATTTTTTTTTAAAATAATTTAAAATTTAAGGATAACACCAATATAGAAAAAAATATATAGGGGATTCACAGTTGACAGGCATGGCCACCTATATAGTAAAATCATTACCCTTGTTAGAGGGCATACAATAATTCATAAGAAATGCATTTTTGTATTTTAAAAACATTGACACACCGTAAATTCTGATAATCAATAGGGTTCTCAGGTAAAAGTAATTATGTATACAGTCTGCTCGCTATACTTACGCGGGTTTCGGATTAAAATTTTTATGAGTATTTCCAGGTAAGTACCCGAAAGTTTGACCTGTTCTTTGGGGAAATATCAACTGGTTAAATGAAATGAAAAATAATGTACAACTTTTTAATTAAATAAGAATGGAGAATCTTTTGTATAATTGAGAGCAGAATTAATTTTCTTCATTAATGGAGTCTAATGTGGCTATTATAAACCTAATAATAATTTTATATTACACTTCACACAGAAAATATGGTCTATGTATAATAAGAGGGTTATTTAGCTCAAATAAAATATTTTCTAACATAAAAATGTGTTCCATGTAGAGAATTTCAAATGAAAAATAAAAAAATTGAACTTGCCAACAAAAATGAAAATCAGTCATAATCATCCAAAATATCATAATCGTCATCATCATCACTGTCATCACCATTAATTGTTATTATGATTGGACTTTTATTTTATTTTCACGAGTCCACCAATTTTCTATTAGTTTCTCGTACTTGGATATACAGTTCCGCCACACTTCTGGAGTTGCAATTAAAAGTGCTTTTTGCCAAGTTTCCCGAACTGCGTCGTCACTATAACCATTTGGTCCAATATGGTTGTCATAATATTGTTTTGCTATTCTCCATATATATTCGATGGGATTAAACTGGCAATGATACGGTGGCAGACGTAAAACTTGATGACCGTAACTTTCAATAATCTGATCCACAACAAAGGTTTTTGGTTTTGCGTGTATATTTGCCAAGCGTAATAATTCTGATTTTAATATATATTGAGGAATTGGTATATGTTCCTTTGTCAACCATTCTTTAATTTTATCAACAGTCCAAGAATTCGTTGGACTTTTATTTAATACTTTAGAATGGTAAGGTGCATTGTCTAAAATAATTACGCTGGGCTCACTTAAACTTGGGAGAAGTTTTTCATGCAACCATTTTACAAACATTTCTGTGTTCATATTATCGTGATAGTCACTGGATTTTGATTTAGATGAAAATATTAAATCAGCACCTTCTATAAAACCCGATTTCCCTCCTGCATGTAAAATTATGTGTCGCTTTCCTTCTCCATCGGTATGTTTGATGGACTTTACGTTATCATCTTGCCATATTCTCTTGATTGCACCCCTAGAAAATATCCATGTTTCGTCTAAATATATAAAATTCGCTACATCTTCTTTAAATTTAGAATATTTTCTTAGAAACTTAATTCTCTTGTGCACGACAGAACTTCTTTCACAAAGGGCCTTTCTGTTATCCTCCTTTTGAAATTTGAAACCCAAGTTATATATCACTTGCCATAGACTTGTTCTGCCAATGTCGTTAAATTTTCTATTTATTAATTCCGAGAGAATTGTATTTAAGGTCACATGTTCCTTGTTGGCCTTCATTTGATAAATGGTATCACGAATTTCAAATTTCTTTCCTCCTGGAATATCTTTCGTTTTCAATGATGGGCGAGTTTTGCGGTGATCTTCTTTCGGCAGTTCACTATTGTGATTTTGTAATACTCCTCTTAATTTGGTTTCACTAATTCCTAGATCATCGCATATGCGTTGTTGTACAGACATTACCGATTTTAAAGGACCGCCATTTTCTTTTTCATCCGTAAAATACTTATGTGCACTACAAATTAGACTATCTACATCTAACACACTTCTAGGCATTTTTAAAATTTCCACTAAATTTACAATATACATACAATGTCAACACTTGCAAAGAATCAATTCAACTGCAATATTTGTAACAA